ATATTTCGCTGACCTATTGTGGTCAACGTCATCAGGTAATAATAAAAAACGCTACAAAATAACATAAAAACAAACCGTTTAAAAAGAAGACATTAAAAAGCGTCAAATATAAAAACCAATTAAATATAATAATGACGTCAGTTAAATTTTTGTTAAAATGGGTCCCCAAGTTCTTGTTTTAACCTTATCCCCGTCATCTCGATTTAGAACACCTTCCCCAATACCTATCTCACATCGAACTTTCGCTTTGTTAATCTCCAGAGATTCTCTAATTTTTCGTATCTTGTATTCTTGAACGACTGCCAAGGTCTTAGGATTTAGCCAATCAAAGTTACCACGGCATGTTTTGGAATGTTCCGTGGCTCCTGAACTCGACCATTTTTGATTTTTGCAAGCTCTTTGGTGTTCTGCACTTCTTGAAATGATTTTCTTTTTGGTCTCACCAATATATATATTTCCGCATGAGCATTTAAGTTGGTAAACCCCCGGATTTGAGTTCGGAGGTAGTTTAGTTTTGTTGTTGCATAATATATTACTTAAACTAGGAGCTGAAGTAAATATAACTCTGATGTTTTGTTTTTTAAATTCTTTTCGGAGTTTTGGGCCAATAATAGGTATCCAAGGTAGTTTAACAAACTTTTGATCTAACTGATTAGATGTAGTATTTTTTGAAATGCCATCTAAATAGTTTTTGGTTATTTTAATAAGATTATTTTTATTATAGCCGTTTTCAAAAAATGTATTTATGATGAAATCAATTTCTTGTGAGAGATATTTTTGAGAGCAGATTTGTTTTGCTCGACATAAAAAACCTTTAAAGACGCCAATGGTTATGCTCGGGTTGATGTTGGAGTTTGGTTTTATTTGAACATTTGTTATAAAACCAAACTCCAACATCATAGTATTGGGGAAGGTGTTCTAAATCGAGATGACGGGGATAAGGTTAAAACAAGAACTTGGGGACCCATTTTAACAAAAATTTAACTGACGTCATTATTATATTTAATTGGTTTTTATATTTGACGCTTTTTAATGTCTTCTTTTTAAACGGTTTGTTTTTATGTTATTTTGTAGCGTTTTTTATTATTACCTGATGACGCTGACCACAATAGGTCAGCGAAATATCGTTGATATATTTTTACATCAAAATATATTTAAAAATAGTTATACGCTGCCTTTTTTATTAAAATCAACTTACATATTAAATATATATATATATATATATATATATATATATATATATATATCGTATAACACGAAATGACTTTTAAAGATTATATATATATATATATATATATATATATATATATATATATATATATATATATATATATATATATATATATATATATATATAACTTCTATTAATCTGATCCGCACTAATTGTTTTATTCCTTTTCAAAACTTTATTGCATCCGCACCAATTATTTTATTCAATTTCAAAGTTCTATTGCATCCGCACCAATTTTTTTATTCTTTTTCAAAGCTCTATTGCATTCTTCAAATGATAGTTGGAAGATAATTCATGTTGTTTAAATTATGATAATTCATAATTACTTGATGCTTTTATCATCAAGTAATCTAAATCGTTAATACTTCTCTGTCGCCGTCAGAAATACACATTTCTACAACAATGCCTTATATTTTCATGAACCTTATGTAAACCCGTTCGACAACGCCCTTTTTTATTTGTTTTGTAAGTAAGCTTATTTTGAAATAAGGCAACTAGTTGAAACAGATAAAATATTTTCTCTTGTTATAAATTTTTAGTAGCTTTTGAATACTTCCAATCACTCCTTGATATTCTTATTTTTTGCGAATTCAAATTTGGTTATTAATATCAATCACTTAGGGAAACCTTTGTATTATTTTTAAATATATATATTTTTTCGTTTAACGATTATTGTGTGGATTTAACGATTGTCGTGTGCATTTAACGATTGTAGTGTGCATTTTGATTTTTCTACTACTTTTGGTAGTAGCAAAAACAAAGTAAAAGATATTTTAATTTTTTTTCTCAAGTTTTTTTTTTAAACTTTGCTTTATAAACTGTTTTATTATTAAACGTTCTAGTATTTGAATAATTTATTTGTAACTTTTTCTTAATTTTCAGAATATATTCTAGGATATTGGGTAACCATGGTAACGCCTTACTTTTTAGTCTAATATTTGAAATTTTACTTTACACATTTTATTCTAAAACTTTATACTTTAGAAATATAAAATTTTAGAAAATACTTTAAAACTGTATTATAGATTTATTATATAGAATTATCTTAAAATTTTTATAAGTTTTCAAAGATCATTAAAAAATTGCTTATTAAAACATAAATTTTAGCTATTTATTTTAAATTTAAATACAAGTATAAATGCAATATTGTAAATTATTAAATTGTTACATGTTAGACTTTGTTTTTTGATATTAAAGTTTTATATTACTGACAAACTACATAATAAAAATCCCAAAAATTTCTGTAATAAATCTTCGAAAAACTTCTGTAATAAAAATTTCTGTAATAAATCTTCGAAAAACAAACTTCTGTACTATTCTTGCTTTTTCCCACGTTAATTTAACCTCTGTCATTCCGTGGAAGAGTATTACTATACAACATTGTTACTAATAAAACTTTGACCATTTTACGTTCATCGTCTTTTATATTTACTGTTTGGAGAGTTTCTGTGCAATACATGGTATAAGAAGCAAATATACATATATAGCATATATACATAGGCATGGTAATAAGAAGAAAAAGAATTTCACAACATACTCACTGTTGTTATTAAAATATTTATAACAGCAAATGTATGTTATTATAAATACGTTTATAATTACGATTATATACATAATATTTACTTCATATAAGATAATTATGCCCATTTAAACTCTCCAAACACGCCATTCTCCAAAGTAAATGTTAATCAAAAAAAAAAAATACTTTAGACTTTGATTGATAAAAAGTCACATACCTGATGGTAGCAAATTAAAAAAAAAATTTTCTCCAATTTTTAAAAAAATTTGTTTTTACCAGATTAAAAACTGATGATAAAGTTGTATTCAAGTAAAATATGATAATATAGTTAACTTATCGTCAAACACATCTTTAAACGACAATAAAGTTTTTTTTTATAACAGGGCCTGATAGCAACAGGTACTAATAACAACAAGAACTAATAATACTCCAAAATATTTATTTCCTAATTTTTTATTTTGATATCAAAAACTAATAATAAAAAATTTCAAAACATTTCCTAGCTTCTAATTGTAGAGTTTTGAAATTAAAAAATTGTAAACTAAAGAAGTTAAACTATTAATTTATTTGCAATCATTCGTCGTGATACCAGCATATAACTGTGATCGGGTACATTCTTTTGTTTTCTCAATATTTAATTTCAAATTAATAATTTGTGTTTCTATATCTTTAACACATTGGGTGATGGTTTGAATTACATTTAAATAAAATATTTAATGTAGAACATATTTTGAAATTTCAATATACTTAGATTTTATTTTAACTATTACGTTGTATTATAAATAAGAATAATAAACATTTTTATTTAACAAAAGATAAAATTATTACTTAATATAATTTAAAACATGAATTAGTTTTATAATTTTACAAATATTTATCGAGAATAAATCGAAATATATCAATCTTGTTTGCCATTTAACTTTTTCAGTTCTAATTTAAATAGCATGTGCTGTCCTTTGCGTACCATATTTTGATTTTGGTCTCTGAGTTTCATGAGAGTTTGATTTTGTTACGCCTATTTCATCGTTATCTTTCTTTGAGTTTCTGTATTCTATAGAAATGCTAGAATTATTTAAATAGTTGTCGGGTTTACCTGAAGAGAAACCTAAGTTTAAAGAAAGTCCTTCTGAATCTTCATATCTTTGAATGCCATGATCTTTTAAAGGAGTGGAACTCTTTAATAAGTTATTAAATTCTGGCCCTAATCTAATTCCTTTAATGTCACCGTCTTTTTTACATTCCCTTTCACAGTCTTTTTCCAAATCTCTTTTTTCTACCAAATTTCTGCATAGTTGATCAAAACTCCACGATTGTTTATTTAACTGAGCATTCTTACGAACGAGTACGTCAATGCTTCTTTTAGCATCTTCTAAAGATAAATGTTCAACTTTGCTATTTTCTAAGGATAAATGTTCAACTTTGCTATTTTCTAATGTTACTTTTGTTGCGCAGCAGTTCGAAGAAAGATTTTCGATAGATTTAACTTTGTGCAAAATCGGCGGTAGTGCGTGATTCCGACTACCAAATTTAATTGAGTTATGAACGTTTTCTTCAGAATAGATTTTAGCTTCCATTACAAACAGTTTAAAATTTATCTTTTAACTAAATTAATCTGGAAGAAAATTTTTTATTCTTGATGTTTATACTGCAAAATATTAAACATTAACCAACATTCTAGTATTTTAGGCGTCACTCTATTTTTTACTTTGTTATAAAAGTGCAGAACAATTCTGTATTCCATTGATATACTTTGCGGTAAGTTTTTTAAAGTTTTATTAAATATTTAAAACTTATGACGTAATATAATTTGCAGCAACCTAAGTAAATTTTTTTGGACGAAAATAATATATAACAATGTAAATATAAACAATGAGCGTAGATATATAAACAAAATTTATGTTAAATATCAACAATTTCACTATTTCGAACAAAACTCATGAACAACCGTGTCAAAAATTAAAAAATCTCGCGGGGTCTAGAACAATTATGCATCGTTTAAACACTGTATTAATACCAATGGTCAAATTTTAGGTTACAGTTTTCCAAACTTGTGTTGATAAATTTAATAAATTTATCGGCAAATTAAGGTAAAAAAAAAAAAAAGTTCAGGATAAAATGGCTGCGCTAAAATTTAAGAATCGAGGTTTATGTGCCTTTTTTTATTTGATAGTAAATAACTTTTAATTTCATATTTTAAATTGTGATGAATAGCCGACTGTTACTTATTAATTTATTCAAAAACGTGAATCGTAAAAGAAAATGTAATTGTATAGTTTAAAATTTTAATAATGGGATACAAATAATTTATGATTTAAAGTAAGATGCATGCATTATGTGCAATATGTATTACACATAACCTGAAACAACAGTATACAGTTATTATTTTTACATATAATATATAACAATTTCTGGTCATCGCAACACTAAATGTTCATTTTCTAATATCAAATGTGTTAAATGATGATGCGATCTCTTCTCTAAATAGACACTTTTCAATTTTTGATTTTGGGCTTCCTTCGTTCGTTAGCCACTGTTTCCTTAAAACAAAAATAAAAAAATATTTTAATACAACAAACTTGATAATTTACATTACATTTAGTACTTTCTTTCAATCAGTTTTTATCAGCAGCGTAAACGCAAATTACACTCTCTTTCTTGCAAATAATGATAAGACCTACCTAGAAGAAAAAACGGTTATTTTAAAACATAAAATATGTTTACAAACTTTTTGTTTTCAAACTTTAAAAATCAAAAAACTATAAAAAAAAAAAAAGCCAATAAAATAATCGATAATATTAATTATAACTCCTTTTTTAATTTAATTTAGATGCTTAACTAAAAAAAATAAAAATAAGATTGTCGAACTGTTCAGTGTTTAAGCAAAATCGCATCAGTCATGTTAACCAAGACTTGCTAACGTAATTAGAAAATAATAAAAATGAATTTACTACTAAAAAAATTTACAATACTAGTTTAGTCTTGTAAAATTTATGTCACGGTTGATGGATTGTCTATTGTACAAACATTCTTATATTGGGTAAATTTGCATTTAAAGCAATGGCTCAACAGTCAAATGTGATAGTGGCCACACGGCCACGGCCCTAGGTGTGACTTTAAAAATATTCAAGCAAGAAGACTAACCCAAGTACTTCAATAAACATTCATAAAAATAGCAATGACCAAGACTAAAAAAAATTAAATTATACTCATCTACATTTTGTTAACACTTTCTTCATTTCCTTGTATTACACCAACAACTGTGTTTTCTTTAGTATTCATAACCCAACCTGTTAAACCCAAAATTCTTGCGTTTTTCTGAGTGTACTGAAAAGAAATATAATAGTTAAAAAGTTAAAGAAATATAATAGTTATTCTTTATTATTATCAAAATGCAAAAACATTTCTTAACACTTTTCCACTTATTTTTTTATTTATTCAATTGAATATGCAAAAAATGTATGGAAAAAAAAAATCTTATTAATTCTAAAAAAACATGCCAGTAAGAAACTTAAATTTAAATTTTTTAATTGGAAATGTTTTTCCACTATTCAGAGTTTCGGCATAGTTTAACACATATGATATTGTGATTAAAAAAAATATTTTTCATTGCCTCATTTCAGAGTGCCAGTGCCAGTGTCAGCATAACCACATGTGATTTTTTTTTGCACACGTAAAATCTTCTTTCAGTGTTATTTTTCAACATAACAAAATTTTTCAACAATGCACAAAATTATAAAAAAAGCTTTTTTTTATTATTATTTTTTTACAAAAGCTAAATAATATTTAATAAATATTTAACGAATATTTAACATTTTTATTAGCATTGATAGTATTTGTAAAAAAATAACCAAACAATAGAGTGTCAACTATTACCAAAAAAAGGATAACTTGTTATCTTAAACTTGTTAACTTGATCTTGTTATATCTGAACTATTAAATTCCTAATCTCCTACGCGTGATTTCTTAGGCTTTAAGTTTAAAGCACCCATGATACATAATGTCCCCCTTAAGTAAAAGATAAAAATATAAATCCATAGTTAAACTTCAGTCACACAATAAAGTGATATTAAAACTTGTAATTATATAATATAATAGTTCAGTGATGAGCACACCTGTTCACCCCTGTTATGTTACCAATCTTTATCTTAATTATTGCACTTATGCTACAACAATTAAAATAAAAAAAAAATAACTATTAAATTCCTAACTAATCTCCTACACATGATTTCTTAGGCTTTAAACTTAAAGCACCCATGATACATAATATACACTAAGAGCCATACAACATTGGCCCCAATTTTTGAAGTTCTAGAAAACTATCAATAATACTTTGTGTGTACAAAGAAAATATTAAAATTTTACTAACCTTGCGAAAAAACACATCTAAAAAAAAAAGAAAAAAAGAAATACATTATTTATTTTATTTCAACATTTACAATTTAGTATGTATAACTACCAACTAATATAAATGATATCATGATATCATTATACCAATTAATATAAATGATACCAATTAATATAAATGATACCAATTAATATAATTGATCGAATGTAAGATAACTACTACTTTAAATATCTAATGTATGATGATTACTACTACACTAAATATCTACCTATGCATTCTCATAAAAACCACAACTACAGTAATGTACTTACTACTTCTATTACAATCAACTATCTGTAGTAACTATGGTAATTTAAAGATTTAGGAAATTAATTTTACATATTATTATTATTATTATTATTATTATTATTATTATTATTATTATTATTGTTACTATTGTTATTATTATTATTATTAATATTATTATGAAATTATTTTTTTTATAAATGAATAAATAAATATACATGACCTAAAAGTAATTCAAATAAGTATCTGTATTCTCAAAGTCAGTTTCATTATATTTAAAATGATAGATGATCTTGTGATCTAAAAAACTAAATTAGTTAAAGAAACAACAACCTTTTTAAAGTAATAACATTGACTTGTAATGAAGGAAATATTTAGCATTTTGGATCTCTACCCTTATTGTAATTTTTTTTTTTTTTAACTTTCAAAACTCTTTTTTTAACTGCTTTCTTGCTTTTTAATCATTTTCCTTATTTTTTCAAACAGTTTCAACATAGTGGCTGTCAAGTTTTGTTGTGAGTGAACTTTAAAGGTATTTGATAAAATCAACCTAATTTCCAACTAAGTGAAATATAAACTTTAAGTTTAATTAAATGAGCAATGAGCAAAGAAATTTCAATCTTTATTTCCTTTAAAAAAAGATTTATTCAAAATGTACTTGCGCTGACAATTGTCATCTTTAAATTTTACATTTTTCAAGTTTTTTTAAAGTTGTCAAACTCATCATTGTTAATCATTTTTCATAAGGAGTTTTTCAATATAGAGCAATCAAACCATTTTTTATTTTTAAAGGACTTTTTTTTTTTTTCCTTAAAGAAAATTCTAGATATAGAGGACTTTTTTTAAAAATTGAAGATTGTGTCCCTCCACTTTGAAACCTGTGTCGTCGACCCTTCATACTCCATTTTCATATAAAAAAAAAAAAAATTAGGTGAAAAAAAACTTCTAGCATTTATTCAATTTCAAAAACATGCTGAGTCAACATAAATACTTAAGTTTCTTTTTGTGTGCTTTTTGATATGAAAAAGAGATTAATTTTGTCATTTCAGCATAGTTTAATTAAACAAAGCTAAAAAAAATCCTTAAGAAATGAAATAGTTTAAATCTGAAAAAGTTCTCTTTATTTCTATCTATTTATTATATTAGCAATAAAGCTAAAGAGTAATTAGTCAAATTAATTAAATGGAGGCAATGTTGTTTCAATACAAAAAATATTAAAATCATACTTAAAATATCATTATTCTAAATATGCGATTATTGATAACTCTTGCTCAGCGACAGATCCTGGAAATTTTGGTGGGGGATTATGTTGAAATATTTTTCTATTTTGTATCACATTTCCTAAATAAAAATTCCTCCATTTCTAAAAGATTTTAGGACATTCAGATTCTTGTGTGTGTGTGGGGGTGGGGGTGGGGATGCATACCCCCTATATCCCACCCCTGGATCTATGTGAAGAATAAATAACAAATTATTGAAATGGACCCAAAAAATAATTCAAAAAATCAATTTAGTTAGAATAAATAACATATTACTTTTGTATATATAGAATGCATTATATATATACAATACTTAAAAATGCAATACATATATGTGAAAATACACAAGGAATTATGAAAAGAGATAAAGATTTTTCTATTTCCTGGTAAATTTTTACTGTTTATACACTGTATTTTTACATTGTCTTGTTTTGCGCTTACTTGATAAAATGTTAACTTTTTTCATAATTTTTATTTATAAAGTATACAAACATAACTGACTATTTTTTTATGGATAAGTAAAACGTTTATCTAAATAGTATACCTCAAAAAATGTTGTAGTTATTGAGAAGTGACATTTTTATAAACTTTAAAGGAACTTTACATTTTCATTGTTTTAAAATTTTATAATAAACGTTTACAGCTTTTGTACTTTTGTCATACAAAAAAGAAAAAAAATAATTTTTTTGATCGGGAAATAAGGTTAAACAGGGAGTAAAAGTCGTACAAAATTTTAAAATGTACTGGGAGTAATGTAAAACATACTTTTGTGTAAAAATATAAACAATTTTTGTTTTATATTTAAATAAAAAATATAATAAAAAAATACTTTGAACTTTGCCAAATACTTCAAAGAAAACAGTAACATTATTTCCGGGTGATGCCATTTTATATTTCCGTGTTTACATTGGTATCATATCCACTGGTAACAAGCTTCTTATTTTAATAAAATCTGGCAAAAAATCATTTTGTAATAACATAAAAAAGAATAAAAATTTTAAAACTTAAATACCAATACTATTGCTTTATCAAAAATTAATCTCAATATATTATTTTCTACTTTCAATAGAGTATTTCTTTTCTACTTTCAATAGAGTAATTCTTGCGTGCCCAAGGAAAAAGCAAGAGGCCTAAACCACTTTTTTTTATTACAAGTCAAGAAAATATGAAGACGGGAGAGAATTCCAAAGGACTGAAGTGCGGGGAAAAAGCTAGACGAAACAAAGTTTTTGGAGTATGCCGGGACAGATATAGCAGTAGTATAGTAGTAATAGTAGTAATAGTAATAGCCGTGGCGCAGTGGTTAGAGTTCTGGCTCAGAACCCAGAGGTCCGAGGTTCGACGCCAGCGCTAGACCAACAAGCGACATTGGTACGGAAGGAGGCGTGAACTTCCTGTTAAATGCTCTCCCGCGGTGCTCTATGATAAGACCGTAAGGACTTCTGGGAGCACCTAAATACATACAAAAAAAAAAAAAAAAAAAAAAAAAAAAAAAAATAGTAATAGTAATATTTATTGCTGTAACAATTACATATTTGTTTAAATATAAATATTTAAAAATATAATAAATTGTGGAACGCGATGCAAGCATCGGCCCACACAAATTAAAAAAACACAAGTTATGAAAAATGTTTATCTATTCGCGCTTTGAAAACATTCAACGATGTTGCTTCAATGATTTCATTTGGTAACAAATTCCAATTTTTACAAACTCGATTGGTAAAAAAATTATATCTCGGTAAACATGATGGTATGTATTCTCTTTCTAGCCTACAGTAAGTAGATACAGTAAAAAAAATCAGACTTTAATGAATGGCGAGTCAAGTGAGAATAAGTTTTGGTTGACGGAGCGAGAGACGAAAGCTCCTTTGAGCATTACGAGATGAAAGATTTAAAGAGATCATTGCATGGTCAGAACCACCTAAAGGAGAAAAAGGAGAAACTAAACACAAGATAGGATCAGAGACCAGACATAAATCAAGTCACAAAGTTAGCTATCTGAGTAAGTGATTGAGAAATGCAGTAGTTATAGGCTTTAGTGCCGGCAGGGTTAGTGGCATTAGAGCCAAACCATTCAGTATGATGAACAATAAAGTCACCAATAACAACAATATTGCAGAAGGGTAAAGTGAGAGAGCATGGTCAATTGATCAGAAATCATATCTAAAAGAGCTCAGTCTTGTGAAGAAGGAGAGCGATAAAAAATAAAAAGAAAGGTGATACGCACTATCACCTTTCTCTTTGTTTTTTATCGCTAAGCGGAAGAGGTGCTAAGCGGTGCACATAAAGGAATGGTCAAAGGATTCGAACCTGATTTCACGAGTATGTGACTATTGGAGTCTTTGCGAATTAAAAAATAGTGCCCATCAAAATTGAGATCAGAAGAATGAATTGCAGAACTTAAATTAATCTGACTGAGAGCAAGCAAATCTTGTGAGTTTTGCGAGAAGTAAGATTTAACTGTTGGAAAGTTGCTTCATAGACCACAAATGTTAGTAAAAGATATATTAAAACAGTTAGGTGATGAGGATGGTTTTTTATGTTTAAAATTTGTATGTATGTATGTATGTATGTATGTATGTATGTATATATATATATATATATATATATATATATATATATAAGTATATATATATATATATATATATATATATATATATATATATATATATATATATATATATATATATATATATATATATATATATATATATATATATATTATAATGAGCATGACCGATTTTAAATAGTACTGATAGCAAGAAGCAATCTCCTTTCAGCCTTTGCTTAGAAAGCGAATCCCACAAGGCAGAAGGAAACAGGTTGCATGAGGTTACATGTTACCCGTAGCAGGGTGATCATGAAGACCATACACCTGACCTGATTGCAGTATGTATGCAAGAGAGTATTTTCTTTATAAACAAAAATGCTTATATAATAAGGTTTACCAAAAACACTTTTTTTTTCTCCAGGATACAGATGAATTTTTTCCACATACTCTGAAGTCCACTAAGGCTAAAAATCAACAGAAATAAAAAATTTTCGTAGCCAGGAAGGGATAGCTGTAAAATTTGAAAAAATTGTTTTTTTTAAAAATAAATGTCTGTTACATCAATGTTGGATTAATATGTAATTTATTTTTATCTTTTATTTTATTTTTAATAAAGTTAATGACGCCTAAGTTGAATAGTATTATTATGACTTTTTAAAAGCATATTGAATTTTGAAATGGGCTCGGGTATGTTTAGGCAAAATGTATCGTCAGGCTCGAAAATATGCTTAAGCTTACAAAAATGTGTGCTTTCTCGTAAGTTTAAAAAAGACAAATAATCTTTCTTCAATTCTGATACATAAATATTTGTATTTTGCACTAATAAAAAACAACTTTATCATGTGGTTTTTATGAATCAAGTAAACACCTTTAAGAATTCCGGTATTAATAGAATTGTGCTCAAAAACATAATTTAGAGTAGAGCTCAGCAAAAGGATGTAACAGAATTAGGTTTTTTTTTCCTTTTTGAGGACATTTCTCAAGTTTTTGCCATTCTCTGAAGTCCACTAAGGCTATTAATAACCAAAAAAACAAAATCAGTTGTCAAAAACTGATTTTTGTAAACTTTAAAAAAATGAAATCTTTTGAAAGCGAATGTTGTTTCGTACTCAATGTTATTAATTTCTTAGGACATTTTTCTCATTTTTTTATTTTTTTAAACATTTATTAATAATTAGTAAATTGAATTATTAAGTTAATTATTATTTAGTAAGTTATTAGTGTAATGCATGCTTTTATTTTATATGAATATTGAGTTTTTGTAACAGGCTCGGTTACCTTTATTCAAAATATTTTAAGAGGCTCATAGTTATACTTATGCTTACAAAACCGTGTACATTCTCGTAAGTCTTGTGGTCATGAAAAAAATCTTTTATACTTATATACAAATATTTTTGTTTTGCAACGCAGTAACTTCATTAAATGGTTTTCATGCATCAAATAAACATCAACGAAAATTTCTGTATTCTGCTCATAAACATGCCGGTATTGCGTAACAAGTTTTCCCCCCATATTTTTTTCCCCCCGGAAAGTATGTACCGGGACAAACATTTCCCTCGGAAAATATATTCTAGAATAATTATTTGGGGGGAAAGGAGGGGGGCTAAAAAATTTTTTCCCCGCCCGTAATAAATATTCCCCCTATAAAAATTTTGTTAAACCATTTTGAAAATAGATTAACAGCGATATCAACATAGAAAGATCACACAGAACGGGGAAAAAAGAAGAAAATAAGTCAAGAAACATAATTGTCAAATTACTTCACTATAAGGACAAAGTCAAGGTGTTACAGGCGGCTAATAAACTCAAGGGAACGGGAATCTATATAAACGAAAATTTTTCCAACGAAACGCGTGAAATAAGAAAAGGTTTACTGAACAAAATGAAAGAACACAGAAAGAACGGTAAGTATTCCGTTATTATTTATGATAAACTTATTGTAAAAGATTTTAGTAAAAAGCAAACCAGCGCTTAATGACATCCTTATTTATAACTATAGTTTAAAACTTCGATTAAACACATTTAATATATTTTAACTATTTTATTTCATATTATTTTATTTTATATTATTTTATATTATACTATCAACCTTACTAATGAGTCTAAATACAGCTTTCCAAAACATAGAATTCAATACATTTCAAAATAAAAAAAACAATAGTATTAGATAAAGATTCTGATCCTGATATTAACAAAAACGTTATAAAATAAACATCATTTAACTAATAAAACAATTTAAAAATACAAATTAAATAAGTCCACATTGCACATTTTCCAGGCCAACATCGTCAGTGTTATAATGCCTAAATGGGGTTCATGACCCTCTTAAGCAGAGTAGGGAGGCTCTAGTAATCTCCATGGAAAGACGTGTTCTAAGCCAATTTATAACAGCTCCGTACCGCTCACCCATTTTTAAGGACAGTTTTTGTGCGAGTAGTGCCGTGAAGCGTTTGCATTCGTCTCCAAACCCACCATTCGTACCAAAAATCAATGGGGTAAATGTCCCGTGCTCAACCTCTAGAACTCGTTCTAAATACTCACGTTTTTTTTTGCATCTTCATGCCTACAGAATATGTGTTTTGTTGGTTGTTTTTTGAAGGATTTGGAGTTTACGTTTTACTCTAACATCAAAAAATGCAGTTTCTCCTTTTCTTAAAAACCCTTTTGCTTTTATATCCAATCTAGCTTCGTCGTTGGTATTGGCAGTTTTGAGATTAAATTTTTCATTTGTCAATGGAGTTAAATGCGGCTCCGCTTGAACATCAGTACAAATTTTATTTAGGCAAACAGTTAATAAATCTCTGATGTCATCATGTCTGTTACAAACAAAGCCACCTTTCCTGATATCAACTATTATAATGATAATGAATTAATTCGAAATATAAATCCAATATATCATGACCTTGAGTCTGAGGACCTTACGAAGGAATTGGACATTAATTTGTTTTCAATATTGCATTTGAACATAAGGAGCTTACAAAAAAACTTTGATCCATTTAAGCAGTTTTTATCTAAAATAAAAGTTAATTTCCAGGTCATTTGCCTTAACGAAACTTGGTGTCACGATGGATATATTGAAAATGACTCAAACTATCAATTACAAAATTATAAAGTGGTTCATCAGTTTAGAAACACTGAAAAGACAGGTGGAGGATTATGTATTTTTATAAACAACTCAAGATGGGGGATTATGTATTTTTATAAACTACAAACATAAAAAGGATTCAACTGCTCAACTAACAGCAATTACGAGTCGTTGTGCATTGAAATTATAAACAAAAACTCATTAACAAAAAAATATTATCTTGTACGTTGTATACAGGCCACCTTCTGGAACAATCAAAACATTTAAAGATTATGTAAAAAAAATATTTAAAACTGAATCAAGATCAAATAAAAGCGTATACCTCGCGGGCGAT